AGAAAAACAAAATGCAAAAAAATCGTTACGGAATTTCACTCCGGTAGCAGAGATGGCTGGCCAGAGCGATTTTTGACAAGCAAAATTTGGGCGAAAGCAAATCGCCTTTTGCCAAACGTCGAGTGACACATCATTAAACGCAGTTTTTGACGCTGAACACGAATATGGGGTTAATTTTCAGAAATCGTTAATCCGTCTGAACTTAAAAGTCTAAATTTCTCTTTTCATACCCATATACAGTAAGTACTTGACTACATGACGACGCATAGATATCCAAAAAATATTTACCCTCACGTGCAGAAAAGATATTTCAAAAATAGCCCCAAGATCCAAAATATTAGAATTTTTATATAATAATCGAATTTTTTTTCAGTCACTCACGCCTCCGATGGAGCAGTCACACTGAAGAGTATGGCACTTTTGCCTTAAAGTTGCGTTTTCATCCGAAGAAAAACGCTTTTCAAAATTATTTTTTACCAAAATGTAGCTCGCGCTCTCCTCTATCGATTGATGTAGTTTTCAAATTTTGTCAGCGCTTAGACAGCGTAGAAAAGGGTTTTTATCAAGTGTACCGAAAATTTTTACCGACCAGGAAACGTTCACTTTTCGGTCTAATGAGCCTATAGAGAACAACAACAAATATTTCTAACTCTTTTTATCTACAAATATACTAAAGGGAGCGGAGGACATTTTGCTGCAGACCGCTTGTCAAAAGCTTTTTTCGTTACTGAGTTCTGACCAAAAGAAAAAGAGGATAGGGGTGTACGGAAAATATTTGCCCCACTGTATATAGATTGCGAAAAATTCTAGCTCTGAGTGGAAAGTTATAAATTCGAGAGAAATCTGCGAACATCAGTAACGCATCGACACAATACTGAACGTGTACGAAAGATGAACAAACAAGGGATTGTTTCCTTATCATAGTTCACCTCCCGTGAAGTGCTGACCGCAGCTGTTTGTCCTTAAGTTTTATAAAAAGTTGGTATTGTTGTAGAAACAGCGGTTTCTTTCGTATTTGAAGTTTTTTGTCCAAATGATGAGTTTCAGAGTTGTCTAGTATTTATATATAAAGTTTCAGCGCAATCGGACGTAGCATGTCGCAGCACAGAATCATGTTAAAGTGTTGATTCACACCTGGACTGTCTACTTGTAAAAAGGTGCACGTTATGAATTTCTTTTTACTTCTTCGATATTCTTCTGAAACGCGTTTGCCGTTGAGTATTGTGTGCAGTGCACTGAATGGGTAATGTCTCTCACGTCACGATCGTTTCCTACCTGTCCTTTTTGCAGACCCCATGTGCCTCCTCCTAAAAGCTCCTTGACTGGATTGGCAACCAAATAGCTGTGAGGCCTGAATTCAACGTGAGCACCGAGAGCATCACCAAGAGCCATACCAAATATCGAGCCTTGAATACGATCCAGCAGATCATCATTCATTTTCGCGGGAGGGTAATTTTTTGCGTCGATTCCAAGCTCGTCTGGCTTCTTAATAGATTTCTGATCGGCATCGTGAAATTGACAGTCCAGCCAAGGTTTGTCTAGAGACACAGAAATTAGTCACATCTTTGGTAATATACATACTCTGAAATTTAGTGAGTGCGACTTTTTAATCGACTGAAGGGAAGGGATTTTTTCCTTCAAACGCTATCGTCTGCATAGAGTTGCTGAATAAATATCTTCTCAAATCCACATCGTAAAAGTTAATTGATGAAACTAGCTTAACATGGATTATTTCACCTAATACAGGATTTCACTCCGCATCGTAAAAGTTAATTGTCTGTGCCCACGAAGTGATATTTTCTCAAACGCATGCAAAAGATCCCACGCTTACCTGCTTTAAATTGACACCTTGCAGAGATGTGCAATGACATTGCTTGCTCTACAACGAGAGAATCGAATAATATCCAAGATAATTAGTATTTTTTCACCTGCATCCGACGGAACCTCTTCAATATAACGAAAGAGAAAAGAAAAGAAGGATTGCTTTCGAAGAGACATCTATTTTTTTCAATATTCTGAATAGTCTATAGACAAGCAGATCAACAGTAATATAAACGCGAATGTTGCTAGCATAGTATGCATTCATTCATCATGTCTACAGGTTGACTTGACCAACTGTAGGGGCTTCGAAAAGTTTCTTCTCGTAGATCCAATCTAATGCAGATGCAGGTGAATGGTGTCAGTCATCTGATGAAATTATGTTTCACATTATCTAATTACATGGCTATCCCCACAGCCGTGTTATAGTATCCAAATTATAGTCTTAATCTTTCAAAGTACTCGATTCAGTTGAAGCCATCATATCCGACGTGTTACGATTGCTTTCGACCCGACAGGCGTCGAGTCAGATCAAAACGCCGTATTCGAATTCAGACATCTCTACTTCCTAGTGCCCAGTAGAAGTTCTCAGTCTCTCTCATTGTCTCGAAATTATGTCTTTGTCGATCGACCGTCCGAAAGTGACACTTGAGTACGACTGATCATGTATTGGTCGATACTAACACTATCTGTGCACACTGAAAGCTACCCCTATTTCTCCCTGCTAATATGAGCCATTAGTGGCGCAAATAATGGGAAAGTTGTACCCCTGAATCTCGGGAAACTTATTGTTTTTCATCAGTAGGAATTAAAAATATTCGTACCTACGAATATGCGCTTCTGTACATGACATATAGGATAATTGTTTCTATACTAGAATTTCTTCCAATTGTCGCTTACCACAGTCAACCGATTGCAAATCAACCAAACTAGGGCACGCGATTCGCGGTCTCACTGATTATATCGTATGTAACACTGCTCGCTTGTTTTTCGTCGAATGACTCTCGTCTGTTGTTTGCGCAAAATTCTAATCTCACCTTTCTTCCTTTCTTCAATTGACTGTTTTTTTATTGCAACTACACAAACTATCAACAATAACAGCACTTAGCAACGAAGTAAGACATTAAAGAAGAGAAACAGACGATGAGTGATTGCCTAAAAGCGTTACTGCAAGCGGTTAAAAACTCCTAGAATTCTCCGACTAGAATGGATTGAAAAAGGATGCACACACCAGAAGTTGACGACGTGATGTAACCTGCGTCGTTCAAAAGTAGAAATACGGGCAATTTAAATGCACTCAATGGCAAAAAGGGTCGATTTCGATCGAAACATATCATTTTTCCGACTTCAACTTTTTGCAGTGTTACAGGTAAGACAAACAGAGTTTATTCTTACACTTTTACTTGTTAATAAATAGGATAAAATAGAGTTGCCTGTGTATATATACACGGGCTCCATCCAGAATCTTGTAATCTATCGCATATGTTCTCTACTCGTTCTGTTTACACACAAAAAACATTGTAAAACAACGCAAAGAGAGAAAGAAGAGTTGATATATCAACTCAGAAACAAGAATACAACTCTTCTTTCTCTCTTTGCGGTGTTCTATACCTGTCTTCAAATATTCTGATCAGCAGCTTGTTTACAATAGTGAGAATAGGCTGATATTCTCAGTGAACTTTTTGCAATATGCCTGCTAACCAATTATTCCAGTGTATACTCTTCCTTTTACTAATTCTGAGTTAAACGTTCTCACCTAAATTCGATGTGACTGAGATCCAGGTAACTTATCGTCTCGTTCATGAATTTGCTCGTTATGATATTGCTTGTTAGTAAGAATATTACACATATTTGTAGAATGCCACTAAGGTACGCGCAATTCAAAAATCGACCACTATCTCATTTTTTGGTCGAAAGCTACATATTCAGATACTCCTGACTGCGCTGATATTCTTCCGAATTCGAGTTTTGTTAATTTATAATAAGAACATTTCAAACGTAATAAAGTAGTATTGAGAAAAAATAATCACTTTCTGAATTAAAAAAACATGTGTCCGCCTGATCGCCTGTAGAAAAATGTCACTGTGAGTCCTTTACTTCTGCGCGTATTGAAGTACTTGAAGTACTTTTTTGGTACTTTTTTTGCATAGCTCAAGGGCTTTTTGTAAGAAGGCTTCCATAATAGAATTCTTTTTTTGTAATCAATAACATTTTTCGAAATTATGGGCAAAGTTAAGAATAAAAATTTTAAAACCAATGCGACTATCATGTTATGAATTTTAATAAAAAGTTTTAATAAAATAATAAAAAATTAAACAATTAAAACTAAAACATTAAAATTATAGTTCGATATTTCGACCTATTAATACGGTCATTTTCAAGTTTCTCTTCGTACAGAATGTTACATAAAAATTGAAAACAAAAATAATTGATTATATATATATCTAGTGTTTTTCTAATCTAGGCACACACATTACAAAGAAGACTGGAATTCCATGTGCATGACGAGCTCAAGCATGATTAGTGAACTCTCACTTTGAGAAGATGCTATCGTTCTCTATTATATATGATATATAATTGTTTATACTTTCTCAAACACCCTCAGCTGGTGAAGGCAACGATATTATGGGACGATAACTGCTTGCAATGTCTAACCTCACTTTTGCGCAAAGCGTTTACGTATCCTATTTTAAATAATAATTAGAAAGTTCTTGTAAGGTGCGCGCAATTCAAAATCGCTTCTCAAAATACTAAGAGCACCGAAAAAACAAAAAATTTGCATCCTTCTGAGAAAACTTGAGGTTTTGTCCCCTTTCGTTCACTGTAATCTTTCGAATTTGATATATTCGGATTCCCCATTGAAAACTGAGTCTAATCGTGTACCATTGAGTCACAAAAACCAAAATACCTGTGTGGATATAAATAGGGACATTTGAAAAAAGCATTGTTGATAGAAGTCAATAAGAACAAGAATGATGATATTAGTAAAGTATTTAATATTACATCATTAAATAATGTAATTGGATGGTATTATTGTCTAATTAGCTTTAAGGTTTTGGTGTGGTTTTGGGGGCCCCTCTAAACCCTAAGCTCTAAAATAACTTCCAATCATATGGGAATGCACGTTAGGACCTACTCTATTAATGCTGTACGCCCAAAAGTGCCCATATTTTTTAAACTTTTTTTATAGATTTTACAAAATCCTTATGAGTTTTTCGATATTTCGCTTTTTTCTTCGTCTTAAGAGCACTTTTTTCACGAAATAACATCATATTTGGAATCAGCACGAAGAACTGCATCCAATGATGTATAGCCTCTTAGTTTTTCTTCAGAATTATTTTTGATTAAATTGAATTATACAGTTGAGAGCCTCTCCGCAGCAAGTTTTACCTGACAATTTGGATACTTGTTTTAGCAATAGTATGAAAGTCTATGAACACGTTTTTCTACAGGTTTTCGAATATGTTTTTTCTAATGGTGAGGTTTTCAAAATGCAGAATGTTTTTTATGGGTTTTCCAGAGATCCGGTTTCCAGAAAAGCCACAAGAAATTACTTTTAGGTTCTGAAAATCTTACCATTGGAAAGAGCATACTCTTAAACCTATAGAAAAACGTGTTTATAGACTGTCGTACCACTTCTACAGCATATGTCCTTCTGTTCTACAGAAAAATGCCCACTGTGTGTCCGGGGGTGTACCGCGGAAAGTCATATGGACTCTCGTCAATTGGCAAATGTTCTGGGGGTTTATTGGCGAAAGTCACCTAGACTAATGCACTAGTATTCATGGCCAACTTTGAATCATTTGTCTATGGATGAAAGTCTACTTTGCGTTCGTCAAATTTGTGAGAGCACAGAGAAAAGACGACAGGACGTGGAGGAAGTCCATAAAATGCTTAGAAGATGTCAAAATCCCCTACTATTCTGTCGAAAATCTATTACGACTTTTGTCAGTACTGGCGAATGTCCGCTGAATATATTTACGAAAGCCCACACGACTTTCGCCAATTGGCCAATGTCCAGGGAAGTATTGGCGAATCTCCATATGACCCCCGCCAATAGCAAAAGTTCTGTTGACAAAAGTCACCTTGGCGAAGTGCGCGCTAACCATTCCACTATATCCACGACTTGCACCACAGTCAATGCCATGATATCTCGCAGTCCGGACAGTGCGAAAGACGTCCATTCCTTCATTTTACTTCATATTCCCCCAGATCCAATCCCCACTCGACTTCGACACCTCTGTCGAAAGTAACTACATGAATGTCTCGCCGCTTGGATCGTGTGCGAAAGCCAACGTTCCTTCATTTTCCCACCTTTTCTTAGAATTCCCATAAATGCATCTCACCCTTTTCCAAGATTTTCCTTCAATTACCATATTTCCTTCATTTCCACACCTTCCCTTTCGGTCAGAATGTTCACAGGTGTAGGTATCCAATGACTAGAAATCCATGCATTTCTCCCTTTTAATAGATTTTCCTGGAATTGCCATAATTCCTTCATTTCCACATCTTTCCCTTGGGTCAGAATATTCACAGGTGCAGGTGTCCAATGACTGCAAATGGCATCTCACTCTTTTCCAATAACTTCAGGTCTTTTCCTGAAGAAATCGGTCTTTCTGCACAACAACTTCATGTTTTTTCCTCAAGAAATCGGTGAATTGGCGATGGACAATAAGCGAAATCGCTACGTCACTGACGAGGCGAAGCATGAAGTGAAACAATACTGAATAGGGGAGGTGAGTAGAACAGTCGTGGCAAGTGGAAATGGGGAAGGTGACGATCTCTACCAACTCAACTATCCTGAATACGTCTTTGTCGATAGAGATTATTCCGCCTACGTATCGGATACTAGGAATAACCGTGTGATGAACTGGGTGAAGGGTTTGAAAGAAGGGATTGTCGTGGCCTAGCGGGGTGTTCGTCAATGGACTGGGCACAGTCTATGTGTCAGACACGGGGAATAATCGAGTGATGCGCTGGGGCAAGGAAATGAAAGAGGGAGAGGTTGTTGTGGGTGTAAATGGTCGACGAAAACAAGCAAACCGGTTGAATACTCCCCAAGGTTTATCATTCGATCGAGATGGCAATCTTTATGTCGTCGACTGGGGAAATGCTCGAGTTCAGCGATTCTCTATCAAAACGAATTCTTATGGAATTATGGAGAACTTTAAGGCTTTCTTCGGTAAAATCTAAAGTTAACTGATAACTTTAAACGAGAAAGCTACAAATGAATGCGAAAAGTTTTCGGTTCATGACAATCAATAGCTACACACGGACTTAATTCATGTAGATTATTAGCAATACTTGAACGAATAAGAGTTTAAAAGTGAAAAAGAGAACTATCGCAGTATTTATTATGTGTAGTAACGATGAAGAAAACATTTGATTTTATTTGATTTTGTCGATAATAATCGTGCATTGCATGATCTACTTAGGGTTATCCAAAAATAGTAACGGAGATACCTCTTTTTCTTATAGAAAGCTTTAATAAATTTTCTTTTTTTATAAACAGATAGAGCGTCTTTCGCTTTATTTTTCTATGCTATTTGATCGCTATCAAATGAATATTCTAGTAATAAAATTTTGATAAAACTGTTTTTAAATTTTTTAGTGTAGGAGCTAAATATGTGTACGAAAATTAGTTTTTAACAGTAGCTTGATATTCGGAAGAAAAGGGTGCACACTTTTCTTCCGAATATCAAGCTGCTGTTAAAAACTAATTTTCGTACAAAAACTTTTTTTGTTGAAAACTGGCCAGTAGCAACGGATTATACTGAATATGCTACTTTTGCATTCCACTTTGTTATTACTGAATAGGTTGTATGGAAAAAACAAAATATACCACAAGATGCAGCGCAAAACATGAGTCTTGTGGTATATTTTGTGTTTTACGTCCTATTAAGCGGTGATAAAATGAGAGCCAAAAGTACTTGGTTTTTTCTTACACTAAACTTTTTATGATCCGCTGTTACCAGCCAGTTTTCAAAGAAAAACGTCAAAATTTTATTACTAGAATATTCGTTTGATAGCGATGAAATAGCATAGAAAAATAGAGCGAAAGACTCTCTATCTGTTTGTTTTATGTCTTTATTCATTCTCAACCGAACAAGGTCAGCGGGGCGAACCCCATTATCGACCTTCAATGTACATTGAAATAGAAGGAAAACTTAATGAAATAGAAGGAAAACTTAATGAAATAGAAGGAAAACTTAACTCTATCTGTTTATAAAAAAAAATTTATTATCTTGCTTCCATGCCAAGTGCAGTACGCACTTTAATGTAGAAACGAAAATTCTCCTTATCCATGTAAATAGACGAGAATGATGTAAGACTTAATTTAGCTTTAGCTCTTTCACTCTCTTAAAAACGTTAGCGGCAAACAAGACACGTGCCTCTCTAAATGTATATGAATAGACGATTAGGTATGAAAAGGCGACAAGAATAAAAAGGAAGAAAGAAAGAGGAACAGAGAACAGAAGGAATATCAACGAGTGAATATGCATCAAAGAGAAATATGTTATTATGTTATTATCACATATCATAACAAATACTGCTTATCGAAGTTTTCCTATCATGACATCAGTTTAAGAGTGAATCACTACCGCAGAAAGATAAAGCGTAATTTTTGGTACCATTACATATAAAAAGAAAATTTCCTTCAGCTTACTATATGCTAATAAAGTATCAGTGCCGCTACTTTTGGAATGAACTAAGTACTTACCGATTGATGCTGTTGTTACTGGTGACGTAGTTGTTGATGTTGTCGGTGATGTGGTGGTTGCTACTGTAATTGTTGTTAGTGTGGGTGTTGATGTGGATGTTGTTCGTGTGATACTTGGTAATGGTGAGCGTGAGTTTGGTGTTGTTGATGGTGGTGTTGAATATATCATGGTTGATTCTGATCCTACAAAATGATTTAGACATAAGTAACAAACATTGGATGACTTTTGTTCAAAATTATATCCTTCTTGATCTACTGTCGAAAGTCGATGATTCAGTGCTTAACTCACAGATTTCTATCATGAGTGATGCATTTTTTTATTCGGCATGTATTCGACAGAAACAATTCAAAACCGATTGATAATATGCAGTAATGTAACTGAGACAGAAGCATGTCAAAAACAATCTGTTCTCATTGTTGTATGTTTCCAGGAAATTATGGAACGTGATCATTCTGTTCAAAAAAATCTTAGAACTTCTTTGTCAACATAAAATAAGTGATTTTCGATCTTAAACCAAAACATGCATGTTTCTAGACAAACGTTATGAAAAAGTGCAGCCTAAGAACCGGATGTGTCCATAGAGCTTTCTAGCGATCTCGTGTTTAAAATCATTTTTCACGCTTGAGACAGACCTATTGGGAAGACCTTATATGAACTAGGTTACTCAGATAGTCAAATCAACGAAAGGATGTGTTTGTGCGAAATATCGTTTCATTTATAGTGTATAGTGCAGACGAAAATCTATTGATCTGAATACAATTTTAATGTTCTGCAACATGCATACTGTCACTGTCATGATATATCGATTTTGTTTTCTCTGTTTTCGTGGCTGGCTGAACACTTTATAGCACTACACTATCATCTTCAAATGGGCAAAATTGTTAGACGGCTTACGAGCGTTACATTCATTTTGAATTGTATTTTTACTTGTACAAGAACCAGCATCAGATAAAAATGAAGAGTGAGAATACCTATTAAATACTTTCAGCATAGTTTGATTTTCGGACATCTTATGTCTCGAGAGAGCTTTGTTGACATCTCTGATCTATTCTACTTCTCTTTCTCTTCTTAATCGAAGAAGTCTGTGCCACTCTGATTGATTGAATAAGTACACATGTAATAGAAGCTGTGTTATCTGTCTAATTTTCAGCTTACAAATCTTCGAAAACTCAACAGGAAAAGAAGTAGTGATGATTATGCTGAATTGTTTAGCTGTTGATAATATAAAGTTGACATACATCACTACTGTACTGTACTATAGGCATTGTTGTGGATCCATTATTTTTCACTGTAGAGTTTCGGATAAGAACAATACTAAAAAGTACTATTATACTTAAAGTCAAAACAAAACTGATAGTGATAATCTGTTGATGGTGAAACACCTACGTTGTTTAGTTTTTTTCATATTTTTTAATTGGTTAAGATTGTCATTAGGATCTTTACATTCTTCTAATTCGATTTCAATTGAAATTAGTGCTGTGGGATTATAGAGATCATTTCGCTTAATTGCTACTACTTTAAAAACCGTAAATGGAAGAATTAAAATTTCTTTTTCATCCGGTGTCATGGATAATGTTTGAATGTCAATAGCTGTTGCGTGTTGTGTTATTGAATATTGACAAAGACATGAATATTGTAATGTACAATTACCGTTGAGAGTATATCTCATTTCGATTGTTGCCCTTCGCCAGCAAACATTTCAGCTACTCGACGTTGGCTAGAAGTTGATAAAAAGGAGCGATTTAACATATGTTGATTTAATTTGTATTGATTTAAATCATATTGTGTTACTCGCATACCACGATAACATAAACCTCGATATTCATATTGAAACAAATTTGAATGATAAATTAAAAGTGTAACAATATGAGCAAGACAATTCACAAGACGATATGTTGAGAGAAAAATTTTCGATTCATCGAAATAATCTAGGATATACAAAGCCAAATGTTTATTTAATACTTTGTGAAAACCATTTGTTAATGTATATGCTTTAATAAAATATGTCAGAAAATGTTTTTCTTCTACGACTCCTTTAAAATATGCTTCAAGAGTTTTAATTTGTTCAGGAGTAACTCGATCTTCCGGATTACCAGTGGCATTACTAAGATTCAACAGATATTCATTTAAATAGTAATGAATAAATTCAGCAATTAGTTTTGATACTAAAGTATGATTGTCATAGGTTTTGTACAAATTGATAACTCGACGAAATCGACGTCTCTTATCGAGAAGATCATCGCCTACTAGAGATCATTCAATATAATCGTAATTATTCTTCGAAAATAATTCTCTTTGTTTGACAAATAGTTCTTTTATATTATCAGCATGAGTCTCTTCATAAGATGTAAAGTTATACCTTAAATTTCTTATAGAACGTAAAGCATCATAGTCTAATAGAATCTCTATCATATCTCGATGTCCATAATAACATGCTACATGCAAACATGTTGAATCAGTTGAAGTTTCAATTTGTTTTATAATATTTTTATTGTTACGAGATAGTGACATATTTCGTTTTCATTTTCTTTTTATTTCGTTTTCTTTACATAAATAGTATAATAAATCCCTAATATTAATAATTCAGTTCGAATTATGCGAGAATTTATCTACATGGGCACTGACACCTTCATGCTGTTATATTCTGACACTTGAACACTTTAACAGTTCTATACTTTAACATTTTTACATTTGTTCACGTTTACACCTCAACACTTTAACATTTGATTTGTAAAAAGTATAATAGAATTACGCAACTGTCACCGATCCAGCTGAATTTTGCAAGATGCTGGAAAAAATTTTGCAAAAATCTTCGCGAAATTTTGGCAAGTCAATCAGCGTTCTGCAAATATAACAAACAATGCAAGAGTATTCTCACTACTACCCTCGATATCGCTATATGGAAGTGCTACAACGCAGAAGCCTTAAAGTGTAGAAGTGTACAAATGTATAAATGCTAAAGTATGGAACTGCGACAGAACTGAACGGATTGACTTTTTTAGGTATCGTATTTTCCCACTATTTTGGGTCTTTTATACCGTGGTATAACTATCCCAAAAAATAAATCCTATCACTTTGTACAGCAAAGAATTCTGCATCGACTGATATATAATATGAGACTTTCTTTCACTCTAGTGAAATAATGTTTCCTAGAGGGAAGCCTATTGGGCGGGTAAGAATGTTGATGAATCGAGTCCGTTTTTGGTGCCAACTTGAGAATTTGACCCGTTTTCACATTTCAATCAATTTTCTAAAAGATAAATAAATACATAATCTAACAAATAATGATGCTTGATTGATCTATTAGTATGAAGGTCTTGGCGCTTCCACTAAGTTTCTAAACAATTTTGCAAATCTATCTAGTGTATTTCGTGGAGAGATGAAGCCGATTTTTCCACTTCAATATAATTGTCATTAAACAAGCTTTAAAGTATAAATCGCGTTTTTTTCGATTTTGTTCGGTTAATAAGAAAATTTGTTTTTTCTAAATTAGGAGCGCAACAATTGAAATTCTGTCTGTGATTCTTAATTTTCTTCAACAGGACTCAAGTTTTATGAAATAAAATATCAGATTTGGAATCAGCATGACAAACTGAACTGGATGATTTATTGTATCTTTTCTGGAATGACTGTGACTGACTAGGCACCAAACTGTTCGCACCCGAACATGTTCGGTCATCGAACGGTTCGCTACTAAACATGTGCACCGCTGATTAGCGAGTCCTGTCTTAGGATAGTTGCATGCCTGATCTGGACTAAAAGCAAATTGCATAAAATTGAAGCTTTTGAAGGAACTAACCAGTGCGAAAATAGGCTAAAGTACAATGTGAGCGAATGTGTCTTCTACCGGATCGCTACCCCAAAGGTTTAAAAAAAATAGTTTGTCAAAGGTAAGAACTTGAGAACGACGAAACATATGGAAGAAATCTTTGTATAAAAAACAGAAAAAATGGTGAAGATTACACCAAACGGAGGAGCAGCCTTAATTACGCCGTAGCCGTCGGTAGTCATGTAAAGAAAAGGTTGAATTAGAGCCGCAAAATTATGTTTGCTTTATTCCAGGAAGTTCAAAATACCTTTAGTTTCCATTATATCTGATTTACTCTCTAATTACTTACTAACGTGGCCTCTGTATAGCAGATTGATTTACTTTGCTTTCCTGCAAAAAGTGGTTTTCCTCATTGAGCAAAAGAAAGTAGACAGCTCTAATTTGAATCTATCTTTATAAGGTGTATGGACCTTGTCCTAATAGTTTGTCAGCAGAGCCCTCGCCTATGTCTCTGATGAAAAAACTATAAAGTATCGTATTTGCAATCTTCGTCCGAACACGTTCGGTAGCGATCCAGTAGACGACGCATTCGCTCACATTGTACTTTAGTCTATTTTCTCACTGGTTAGTTCTTTCAAAAGCTTCAATTTCATTCAATTTGCCTTTATTCCAGATCAGGTATGTAACCATCCTAAGATAGAGCTCGCTGATCGGCAGTGAACATGTTCAGTAGCGAACTGTTCGTTGACCGAATATGTTTCTGTTACGAACGGTTTGGTGCATGCCTAATAATAATGGGACATGTCTCTCTTTCGGTGGCACGGGAAAAAATATTAAAATGTTTCTCTTTCATATAAAACAGCTTATAACAACGGTTTGAAAGATGGACCGCTTTCTATGCGATTTTTTCTGGTCCAACGTGGCTATCGCGAGTCAAACTTCGTGTCAGGGCGTTAAAAAGCCCTTGGACCGGTTTTTTTTGGGCTGTAGAAATTTCGCGCATGGATATACATAAGCCGCAGGATTTAGAGAAGCTTTAAAGCTGTTGTTTTCCAAACTTTTTTTCTCTTTCTCCTTTTAGACAGTGGAGCTGGTGGTTGTAATGGCGGCCAATTCGATCCTTCAGTTGACTATTTGAATTCAATCAACGGAACTCAAGCTCTTTGGGATGATTATCCTTACGTAGGATATATATAAGGTTGCCGAGACAGCTCCGTTTTCCGACAAAGAATCGGACCGAATATCAGCTACACGCATGTGAATGAGAATGATAAAACTGCCCTCTGGCAAGCTGTGCTTCGAAGACCAGTTTTCGTGTCTATTAATGCAAACGTATCGGCGTTCCTGCACTATACAGGTGGAATTATCAACTTGTCGCCGCAAGACTGTGACCCAAATCAGTTAGATCATGCTGTAACACTTGTTGGCTATGGTTTTGGTGATCTACTGCAATTGAATTATTGGAGAGTGATAAATAGCTGGGGAACTACCTGGGGAGAAGATGGCTATGTTCGTATTGAAAGAGGAACCAATGTATGCGGCACTGCTGCGGACGCCGTCGAAGCGGACACCGTTGGATTCGCTGGACATCGTTGAAGGGACACTTAGAGTAAACGGGCGTTTTGTGTTGTAACTTTTTTTACTTTATAGTTAGCACCCAAAGTAATACGATAGTGTAATACTTTGTATGAATTTTGGATCTTCTTGCAACCGCTATCTCAATAAGATAAATCTCTAAAGTACCGGAGTTTCATGCCATTCGATGTATAAGTAGCAGCAAAAGGACAGAAAAGTCAGTTTCTATTTTCGATTCTTTATATGATAGAAAAAGCAGCAAAAGTTACGGACACTGACAAGCAATCACCAAACAATCAGATATCTGGATGTGTTCAGGAACTCTTTTTAACAAGAGACATGGATTTTTTTCAACAATCAAAGCAAAGTTCAGAGCTTGTAAAATGCTAGTAGGACACGAGATGGCAAATGACTAAACAATAGAAACGGACTTTTCGCTGAATTCTTTTTTTGACGTAGCTGTGAAGGTAACTATTATAGGAATGAATTTTTCAACGCAAAAACAAATTCGTTAAAGATTCGAATATATATGGGTCGACGCAGTTTTCGATGCTGATTCCGAATATGTAAAAAAATCAATAGACTTCTATGACAGTTTCCAGAAATCCGGCGTGCTTTTTCAAAGATCCTCTGAAAAACACACTTCGAAAATTTTCCAAAAATTCAATTATGCTTAGGAAAACATGCGGTCCGATGTCTAGTTTCCAAAACTGAAAACGGCAGGTCTCTATCTATCTTCTATCAAAAGTTATTCGAAAAGGAACCGATAGCCTTGTATTTTGGAACGGATAGTAGTTAAAGATCCTGGATTACAAATTTACACCTAACACGTACGGATGAGAAGAGCATGAATACTGACAAAGTACAAGCACGAAAATTCATATCCGTGTACTATAGAAGACAGATAGGAATAGCCGACTAACTAAGTCTATAGTTCCTGTCAGGAATTCCAGAAATTCTTCCGACCATCTAACGAGGGAAGTACTCAACTGATAAATCGCTTTTTCAACGAAACCGACTGGACTATAGGTAGTCGCCGATGCTGATTCCGGATATCAACATGAATGCTGCTGCTAGGTCTTCTGGAAAACCAGTTTTCGAGAAACTCTAAACAACAACCAAAAGCTTTCTTAATGAGGCGTAATTGTAGTACATAGATTTCTGATTAAAACGAGACATCTCCCAGCTCTACACGATCTTTCTTTGAAAAGTTATAGAGTTTACAACAAAAGCCCTAAATTCATTTTCTTTCTGTAGCTCTGAGGGTACAATGAACATTTAAGGCTTTTCTTGTAAACTCTATAACTTTTCAAAGAAAGATCGTGTGGAGCTGGGAGTAGATATGCACCGGGTCGAGCTACCCGAAATTCGAGCTACTCGAATTTAGTGTTTTTTTAATGAAAAATGAAATCAAAACACTACTTCAATCTATTCTATTGACTCTTTGAGCTGATAAAATAGAAATAAAAAACCGTTAAAATATCGACATCAGGACACTCTCTAAATAATC